TTCCAGGTGGAGATATGCTTTCATCAATTCTTTTGGAGGTTCTTGTAGAAAGATCTCGCGAAAGTCAACGACTACGCCGGGATGTTGGGAGAGGATGACATGGCGGGCAATGGACGTTTCCTCGACATTGAGGGTTTTGAAGGGATGCATGGTGGCTGTTAAAGGACGTGAAGAGCAGGACCGTTTTGTTTTATGTGACACCCAAGGAAGTGGGGTCTATGAAAGACGCCATATCCGCAAGAGGAGAGCCCTATCGTTCGGCATAAGCTAACAGAAGCTAAGCGACGGTTACAGATCACAACCGGATGGACATGCTTCTTTCGTGCGGGACAAATTGTCATCAAGAGGTCAATGGCCCTCTACAGATCTTATCAGTTATGTAAGGGGCGTAATAGGGAAGAAGCCAGGGTAAAACACGCACGTGAACTTGTCCGGCGTACTTGTATGTAGTCTTTTGCCATGGAGCGTTGTGGGGTAATTAGAGGCTAGAGGTTTACGACGTAGGAGCCCCGTTGTGGAACCGCGTGGACCTGCCCAATCGGGAAAGGCGCAATCGTGGAACGACTCGAATGAGCATCAAGTGCCATTGATGTAATTAATATGTACTCTCTTTGAGTTGCTTTTGCCCTAGAGCCGTGGAGTAGCCAATCGCATATTATCATCGCAAGCCGTCTACCTGGACAAAGCTACAAAGGTAGGAGACGATGGTCTGTGAGTGGATAGATTGAAGACATGCAATGTGCCAATTGCATCATCATGACTGAGCATACATATGTGGCTAGACCTTCCTTGTACATGATTACAGTACATATATAAATCCTAAATCCGTACTCTACAGAGTATATTCAATCAAATACGAAAATGGCCACGGACGATTGTGGCAAGATTGTAATAATATTTTCAGGGGGATGCCGTTGTGGGAACGTTCAATACACGAGCACTGCGCCTCCCTCGGACATTACCTTTTGTTACTGTCGCGCCTGTCAACAGGTCTCGGGTTCGGGATACTTGGCATTCCTCGAGGTTCCGACATGCTCTTTCAGATTTATTTCATCTTCCAGTCTGAAGAGAATCGAACTTTCGCAATCGGCCAAGAGGACGTTTTGCGGCGATTGCGGTAGTCCGATTACGATGGTGTATAACCTTGAACCAAGTAGTATGTCCATCTGTCTACCAGTGTGAAAAGAAAAGAATAGAAAAGAAAAGAAAAGAAAAGAAAAGAAGCGACGATTGACTTTGAAAGTTACTGCCATGACTGTGGGATCAATCGACGAGGAGAGTTACAAGTGTGAGAAGCCGAAGACCAAGAGGCACATATTTGTCAAGGAAAAAGCATCGTGGACACCAATCCCAGAAGATGGCGCCCCGCGACTGGAGATGAGCCCAGTGGCGCACTCGATGGTACCTCATTCACCTGTTGGTTGATTGTATGTACATGTACATACGTCATTGCCTGTCTGGCAGCGAAGTTGAGAGGGCTTGTCGAAACAATATCAGGAAGAGTCTGTGGAAACAATATCAGGAAGAGTGTGGAAACAATATCAGGAAGAGTCTGGAAACAATATCAGGAAGAGGGTGGAAACAATATCAGGAAAAAAAAGTCTGGCGAATGACTGCTGGGTACGTATACATACTCTGTACAAGTACATACGTATGGAGTCTGGACGCATCAATTGCGTGGTTTAATACAGGGATAGACGTGTTTTCTTTTGGATAATTCTATGTCTTGCGGCGGTGATGCATGGTTGGGTGGTGCGAGTCGGTGTGATTATGTCATTGGTCGGCTTATTGGTGGCTGGTGGCTGGTGGTTTTCCTTGTTTCCCGCCACCGTCGCCCGCCTCTCGTCCAGTGCAACCCGTCAAAAGGCCGCCCATCTCACCACATTCAACTCCCATTCTTTCTGGTACAGTACAAGAGTACTTACTTACTACTCAAACCCATACCTGTCACTCTTTTGTTTCTTCTCGGCTCCGTGTGCGATTGATTACTGCTGCCGTGACGATACAAAGGTAAGACGAAACAGCTCCAACGACGACGACGACGACAGGGAAGCACCACGCATCTCCCGTTCCCACGGACAGGCCGACCTCCATACCGTGTTTCAACCCTCGTCCTCGAAGCTTCTGTTGGACCACTTTGGAAGGTTTAACCTCTGTAACGTTTGTGCCTATTGTGTACTGTGTATTGTGTACATTACCTTTGTACTGTACCGTACCTCCGTACATATTGTGCACAGTACAAGGCGGCAGGAAAAGACACCGAGGAGCACGCAAACTCCCCGTTTCCCCGAACCGAACGGACCACTCCTGCGCCTTCCTTTGTGGGAAGCACGGCCGACTCCACATCAGTGGAGCTTGGTGATTATTATTAAAACATGGCCATGCATCAACTACCCGTCCGGAGGCCCACCACTGCGCCGCCTCCCCTCTCTCTGCAACTTCCCCCTCCACCCTCTCATGCAACTCATCTCTCTTTGCGTGGAGGTGACAATCGAAGCGTCGCTGCTGCTTTCCACGACGACGACGACAACGACGACGACGACGCAGCATCCTTTGACGACGTTGACATAACAGACTTGGTTCGACCACCTCCTTCCGCCTTCACAGCTGCGACAGCCTACGATCCACATTCGCGCTCGCTCATTCAAGACCACTCGCCCACGCATCTAGCTCATGACCGATCTCTAACAGATACTTTCTTCGACAATTGTCGGTCTACCGCCAACCGCGCTACATTCACCCTACAGCAACATACTTCGAAAACATCTTTTGGCCTCCCTTCTCCAACAAAATCTCTTTCGAGTTTTATCCCATCGAGGTCCACTATTGAGTCTACAGCATCGCAGCCCAAGATCAGAGCTGGCGCTAAGCTTCTGTCCAATTTTGTTCAGTCATTCAACGCCACCTCCGTGAGAGAGGACCCGGACTCGGACAACGAGTACGACTCGGAGCAAGACGACGACGAAGCAATGATAGCAGGCATGTTCAATCGGGCACCTGCCCTCACGCGGCCTGCCACAAGCCACGACAACGTCTCCAAGCCATCCACGCCAACGTCGAACCAACCCCAAACCTCGACAGGTGTCAGCAAGTTCGCCTGGTTACTCAACACACAGAAGAGCGCAGTCATACCCCCACCTGTTCCATCACCAAAGTACCACGACCCCGACGACGAGCTTCTGAAGCTCAAAATATCAAAAGCTCTCTTCCCACACGGTGCAGTCGACCCTCTCGACCCTTCTTCCTTCCACGATCTGCTCTCTACCGCGGAGAAGCTTCTCGCTCGCTACCAGAGTGCATATCGCAGTGTTTCATCTGAGCTCTGCGATGCCAGAGCTGAACAGAGTGCACAAGACGATGAGTTGGATGAGGCGGATACACGGACGCGCCATCTAAAGATGCAGCTTGAGACGGTGGCAGCACGGGCAAACGACCAGGACGCCGAGATACGGAAGCTCAGGGAAGAGCTTGCTTTTGAGCGCCGTGCACGCCAGGAGGAAGAAGCTGCACAGAAGCGAAGCTTATCCCTCATCAAAGACGGTAGTCCTAGACGACGGAACCGTGTTTCCAACTCGGACGTCTCCATCGATTCCGGATTCGAGTCTGATTGCGACACAGATGCCACGAGCATCTTTTCTGGTCCACAGAGCTGTGTGAGCCCTACAGACACCGTCTCGTCGGCAACTTCGGTTGCCGATTCACAGACCGACACAACCCCCAAGGGCAAGAAGCCACTTGTCACCCTTCGACGGAGCACATTTGATAAAGTCCGCGACAGAAGCGTGGACCTTGAACGAGGTGGATGGGGCTGCACAAACTGCGAGGGTGGAGCCCACTCTGCTGTATGGGGACGTCTTGCACGCGAGAGGGAGGAAAACAGCCAGCTGCGAAGTAGAGTCGAGACATTGGAAGTTGCGGTAGAGAGCGCATTGGACGTGGTTGATGGTCCTTGGGGCATGTAGTCTGTTTGTTTTATACCTCTTCTTGCTGATAGTTTGGGATGCATTTTGGCGTTTACTTGGGCACGGGTTGGCATGTATGTGTATGCAGCATCTTGGCCACTTGGGCGGGCGTCTTGATATCAGCGGTAAACGCTTAGATTTATAGTTGGACCACATCATCAGTTGCTATTCTATTCTACGAATCAGACTTTGCATCTACACACATGTAATTCTACTTACTCATGTATGTGTGACTGATGCTTGCCAACTCCAGCCGAGGTTCGCGATAAAGAGCTCGGTGTTCGTACCCACGGCTCAACAACGGGTGTCACTCCAGCTCGAGCCTGAGCTTGGTCCGGGCCCATGTGATCGAGGCTGAGTTCCGTTCAGAGGTTTCAAGTCGGATGTTTCTCATCAGCACTGACCTGTTCAGCGGCTGGTAAAGAGAAAAACCAGCCACATGTTTTTGTTCCCGCCTGGCCGCCCGTTGCTTTCTCCGTGCATTAATATTATGGGCAGAGATAATTAATAGGTAATTGATAGTCTACTACATATGTACATTTCTCGCCCAATGCCAAGTAAGACCTAACCGTCAAACACGACGTGCTCTTGCTGGTGCCACTATGTACCTTTGTATCTTTACCTTTTGTGTCATGCACACGAAACAGATAGAAGACAACGTTTGGTTTTCCGGGTTCTTGTGAAACTTGGGATTACCAAAGGTTACAACAATACCAAATGGCTGGATACATTCTGCCTACGTGATCAGCAAACAAATGTGTGAGAATTTCGAGTTTCTATTAAACAAAGTACCCCCAAAAAAAAAGTATAGAATCGATATCAACGGAGGTGTCAAGAATGCGTACATGAAAAGAAAAAGAAAAAAATTCGAAAAGTATTTACAGGAAAAAGAAAAAGCTTGTTGGTAAGCATCGGTAGTCTTGATGGGGAAAATTAGCCGTTAGCATTATTGCACGCAAATCCACCAATCAGTACCAATCGATCTATGGTCAGTATATATACGATAAGGTTTATCATTTACAACATCAAGTACAACCAGCATCGGTGGTTTAGTGGTAAAATTAGCCGTTGCCAAGCAATTCATTCAAATTTGCTCAGTTTCGGCTAGCCCCGGGTTCGATTCCCGGCCGATGCAATAACAATTCAATTCTATCATAGATAGAATTTCCTTTTTTGCACCTTTTTTGTAAATAAGAAAAAGGTCATTGGTTGGTTGGGGGGTTGGGGGGGTTTGTTTCATGGTATATGGTTCGGAATGAGGAGTCTCTCTCTCTCTTTCTCCTTGCCGATGTGGCTGCTGCTGCTGCTGCCTGGTGGATGGGGGTTTTTTTAAGGAAGGGAAGGCGTTATGCTCTCTCTCTCTCTCGGGATAGGAGCCTTCTTCCTATTATAATATCCGCTACTATATAGATGGTTTCCCTTCAAGTTCGAGAACCTCCGTCTCTCCTACAACAAACAACCTTTCGACTCTGGTATTCCATACTTGTCCAGGTTTCATTCTGCTTCTTCAATCTCGTGCATTATAACGGGATGGAAAACTGGCGAAGCCTGAGGAGACAGCCTACCACCCAGGTTATCTTGACACCATGGCCCAGGTATGCAAAATCGGACGTATGGGATTGAAACCATTTGGATGGGGATACACGCTTCGCTAAAGTGAACGTCATCAAGGGGGAAGTGTAGGATTTCGAAAAAAAAATACTTCAAGATGATGTAGGCTATTTTTTCCCGACAGTGGATGCTTGATTTGGAAAGGAAGAGGACGGCTTTCTCATCTTTGTACGCAGCCAGCAATTGCCGCTATGACTTGGCATTCTGTAATGAATTGTCGCCCTCACAATATCGAGTCCCCCGGGAGTAGCCCCTCCCTCCACTTGTACGCCGCACGGTCATTCGCCCATTCCAACAGGGCATCGTAATCCGTACACTCATGTTCAGATCCTTCGCCCGGTCCCGCATTCGTCTTTCCTTCCAGCGTAGTGTCGGCCGCGCACATGATGCCCTGCCTCAGATACTCAAAACAGTGAGCTGAATGATGGGCAACTTCGTCCGTCAGCTCCACACCCCCGTAACCCTGCTGGAAGTGCTCGGCGAGGTAGGATAGACAATGAAGTTGGTGGAAAACAGACATCATGTATCCGGGGCCGTCCTAGGTAAAGGTAGGGGGTTCAACTCGTCAGTTTTGCTAAAATTCCAAGAGCTAAGAGTAAAATTGGTGGTATTGGCTTACTACGCGGTCATGAGTTAGTAAATGTCGCGAGACGAAAAGAAACTCAACCCCACGTACCATGTTGACGATCCAAAGCTACCGTGTATGGCTCGGGAAGATCGTAAGGGGTTGCGTCGGGAATGACTACGTAGCCGCGACTGGCTGAAACCACCGGGACGTTAGTTGAAGTTTGGGTTATTTTATTGTACATAAAAGAAGAGCAACTTGTACCCGAGCTTAAAGGAATCCAATTATGCAGTGTATGCAGGGTAGTGGACTCGTTAAAGAACATGTCCTCGCGCGTATATCTGTCATCGGTGTGGAATGTATACATCTTGCGTGGGACTTCCGTACTGTTAGCAACAAATTTCAAAAAAAAGAAAAAAGAATTTTTGTTCATACGAGAATGGAATTAGACGTACGTTGCGGTACGGGTGATCTTTTCAGACTTCTTCGTTCAGAGACCGGTCTGGAAAACAACAGATAATATGCTAGTGCAACGGCCATGCAGAGCTCTACGAGTAGTCGTAGATAGCACGCCACGCTTTTCCGCGAAATGTCTAACTTGGGCGCAGACGTTGGTTCATGTTCGCCATCTTTCGACTCCGGGAGGAATGCCTCGCGTTCTTCTATTACAGCTTCGTCGCGGTTGTGGTCCATGATGAGTGAGTGAAGTGAGTGAAGTGAGTGAGCGCCACCAAACTTCCTTCAACATTCATCAAGGAGAAAAACGAGTGCAGAACGTTCGATATTAATAATACCGTGACGCGCGACTTTAGGCTGTTTTCTTGTCTTCGGTAGAGTGGGTAGGTTGACGCTCATGCCGAATGGAGCTAGCGCTTCCAGAACATAGTGCTGGGCTCGACATAGATCATCAGCCTGAGGTTTGGTAGGGTTGACCCATTTCATCATCAGGTTCACGTGTGTACAGGCCACGCTCTCAACAATAATTAATATAGATAACCCTGGTTCGCCTTTAAAAGATTTCTTGTGCACAATATATTTTGTGCGAAGACTAACCTTGCTCTCTCTCCCCAGTTCTTACCTCGAAGAAATACTACCCTTGTTAACCTCGATCTATACCAAAAGAATGATTCCTAGCGCCCGTATACTTCTCGACAAACTAGTACGATAGATGTACAATCCGTCTATAATGTCGGACCCGAGAGATTGCCTCATTAAAGAAGATCTCGAGACTGCCTGGCACTTTCAACGCGAAGCCACCCATCGGAACAACCTCAAAAAGATATGGTCGACTGCAGACCGCTACTTGACAATCCTAGATGTGACAATCATCCCTACTCGACTTTCTCTTCGCGATATGTTCAACAAGCCCACCGCCGTTTATTTGGAGCACTCCGCTCACTCTCAGGACGGCCACCATGACCACATACCCGGATTTATTTGTATACAGCGCATATTCATCGCAGCTATATACGAAGCATGGCGCGCCCGTTGCGGCGATACGTTGGACTTTGAGTTCGGACATTTCCTAGCCAACCCGGTTCGGATCCCGAAGCCAGGGTCACAGAGCTTGGACGGGTTTGCTGCCGCCCATCAGACGATGTGTAGCATGGCGAAGGAGAGTGGGCTGGCAGACGAGAAATACCAGATGCTGGTGTCCTATCCCGCCGTCATCATCATCTGCGATAAAAGGGTGAAGCAATCAGCGACGGGCGATGATGGACTGCTCAATCTGCGAAAGGTTGCCGAGCAACTGACTGTTCTCGTGATGCTTACCGGTGCATCTTCGACATGCCAGATCACGCTCGACGACTTGGAGCCGCACGCTCTACCACTAGACCGACGCGACGGCGACGCGCATGGCATAGATGTTCGGCGGGTACCATTATCCATCGCTGTGGACTTCATCGTGAACCTCGAGGAACGTACAACGAGAGGACTAAGAAAGCAGAAGATGATGAACAGGTACGATAGCGACTTATGCTGCCACAGAGTCCCGAGGGGTGTCGATCCGACTGTCAGGAATGACCCGCACACGTGGGTTGCTGCTCTGATGGCATCCGACGCGAGGAAAGGCCCCGACTGCCCAAACGACATACAAGAAGCAATTCAACGAATCGAGGCTCGCGCTTCTGGGGCACCATGTGACTTCAGCTTTGAGCATGTAGGATGGTCACATCACTGGAAGTCTGGCTATGATGCTGCATCTTGAAGCTTCTTCGATATGTATGTATTGCTGGGTGGGTCCGTGCAATGGGGCGGCCTGGCGTGCAGGATATAGGTAAAGGTTTGCGATGAAAGGAAGGTATTTAACCCCCTTGATACATCCATCCGGTATTATATAATCCCTTATGTCCTCTTGTTGTCTTGTAGATGACGAATTGTCGAGGCAGAAATTCGCTAGAAAGTTGACTTTATATAATTGAGTGAATTGAGTGAATTGAGTGAATTGAGTGAATTGAGTGAATTGAGTGAATTGAGTG